CAGCAATCCCACTTCTGGCAATATATCCAAAAGAAACCAAAACACTAATTCAGAAGAACATAAGCACCCCTGTGTTCATTGGAGTGTTATTTATAATTACCAAGATATGGAAGCAGCCCAAGTGTTCATCTGTAGATGAGTGGATAAAAACAGCTATGAGTCATTTATGTAATGGAATACTGCTTGACTATAAAAAAAAAAGAAAATATTACCTTCTGCAACAGTGTAGGTGGAAACTGGAGAACATTAAGCTAAGTGAAATAAGCCAGTCAGAGAAGGACAAATACAATATGATCTCACTCATATGTGGAATCTAATGAACAAACTAAACTAACAAGCAAATAGAGACAGACTCGTAGACAGAGCAGGCTGACAGCTAAGGGTCGGGGGGAGGTTAGGGAATGGAGGGATTGAGCAAAAAGGAAAAAGGACTCATGGACGAGGACAACAGTGTGGTGCTTTGGGGGATGAGGGGGTATGAGAGGACTAAATGATAATGGAAAAAATCCAATAAAATTTTTAATGTATTGCTGGATGACGTTTGCCGATATTTTGTTGATGATTTTAGCATCTATGTTCATCAGCGATATTGGCCTGTAGTTTTCTTTCATTCTTGTGTCCTTACCTGGTTTTGGAATTAGGATGATGCTGGCCTCATAAGAAGAGTTTGGGGATCTTCCCTCTCCGTAGATTTTTTGGAGTAGTCTGAGAAGGATAGGGGTTAGCTCTTCCTTAAATATTTTGTAAAATTCTCCTATGAAACCAGGGCTTTTGTGCAATGGGAGTTTGTTGATTGCTACTTCAATTTTGTCAGCTGTTATCTGTTATCAGTCTGTTCAGACTTTCTGCTTCTTTTTGATTTAGTTGTGGAAGATTATATTTTTCTAGAAATTTATCCATCTTACCCAGGTTTTCAAATTTCTTGTCATATACTTGCTCATAGAAATTTCTTGCAGTCCTTTGTATTTCTGTGGTGTCAGTTGTAATCTCTCCTCTTTCATTTCTGATTGTATTTATTTGGGTCCTCTCTCTCTCTTTCTTGATGAGTCTGGTTAAAGGCTTGTTGGTTTTGTTTATGTTTTCAAAGAACCTGCTCCTGGATTTGTTGATCCTTTGAATTGTTCTTTTAGTCCCTGTGTCATTTAATTCTGCTCTGATCTTTATTATTTCCTTCCTTCTACTTGCTCTGGGCTTTGTTTGTTGTTGTTTCTCCATTTCTTATAGATGTTTATTTGAAATGTTTGTTTTTTTTAGGTAGGCCTGTATCACTATGAACTTCCTTCCCTCTCAGGGCTGCCTTCGCTATGTCCCATAGGTTTTGGACAGTTATGAGTTCATTTTCATTTGTTTCAAGAAACTTTTTAATTTCTTCCTTGGTCTCACTATTAACCCATTCATTGTTTAATAGCATGCTGTTCAATCTCCATGAGTTTGAGTGTTTTTGATTTTTTTCCTTGAGGTTGGCTTCTAGTTTCAAGCCCTTGTGGTCTGAGAAAATGCTTGATATAATTTCAATTTTCTTGAATTCGATGAGGCTTGTTTTCTGTCCTATCGTGTGGTCTGTTTTTGAAAATATTCCATGTGCATTTGAAAAGAATGTGTATTTTGCTTCTTTGGGATGAAAGTTAAGTCCATTTGATCTAGGGTGTTGTTCAGTGTTGCAATATCCTTGTTGATATTTTGTTTGGAAGATCTGTTCATTTTTCACAGTGAGGTGTTAAAATACCCTAGTATAAGTGTGTTGCTGTCAATATCTTTCTTGAAGTCCTCCAAGACTTATATATCTGGGTGCTCCTATGTTGGGTGCATATATGTTTATAATGCTTATGTCTGCTTGGTGGATTCTTCCCTTGAGTATTATGAAATGTCCTTCAGGGTCTCCTTTTATGGCCCTTGTTTTGAAGTCTATTTTGTCTGATATGAGTATTGCTATGCCAGCTTTTTTTCCCTGTCAATTTGCTTGGAATATTTTTTTACAACCCTTCACATCCAGTCTGTGTAGTCTTTTGTTCTGAGGTGGGTCACTTGTTGGCAGCGTGTGTGGGGGTCATGTTTTCTTATCTATTCAGCTACCCTATGTCTTTTGATTGGAGCTTCTGCCTTTTGACCTGGCAGTTCCACTGCTGGGATTATTCCCTAAGAATCCTGAAACAGCAATTCAAAAGAACCTGTGCACCTCAATGTCCAGAGCAGTGCAATTTATAATAGCAAGTACTGGAAGCACCCTAAGTGACCATCAGTAAATTAGTGGATCAAAAAACTGTGGTGCATTTACACAATGGAATACTATGCAGCAAAAGAAAGAAGGAACTCCTGCCTTTGCAACAGCATGGATGGAATGGAGAACATTATGCTAAGTGAAATAAGCCAGGTGGTGAAAGACAAATACCATATGATCGTACCTATAAGTGAAACCTAATCAACAAAAAAAACAATGAGCAAAATGGAAATAAAGAACAAACTGACAATAACCAGAGGGGAGGGGGGAAGGGCATAACGGGGGAAAGAAGGGGAAGGGTCATCAAGGAACATGTATGAAGGACCCTTGGACAATGACAATGAGGGGGTAGGATTGAGTGTGGGAGGTGAGAGTGGGTGGGGTGGGGAAAGTGGTGGGGAGATAATGGGGACAACTGTAGTTGAGCATCAATAAAAAATATTCATAAACTAAAAAAAAATTAGAAAATGAAGACCCAAATAAATGAAATTAGGAATGAGGGAAGAGATAACAACTAATAACACAGAAATAAGAATCATAGGAAACTACTATGAACAATTGAATACCAACAAATTAGATAACCTAGGAGAAATAGATCAGTTCCTAGAAACATACAACTTACCAAGATTGACTCATGAAGAAATAAAAAATCGGAACAGTCACTAGTAAGGAGATTTAACCAATAATAAAAACCTCCCAACAAAGAAAAGTCCTTTTTCAAGGACCTGAAGGACCTGGGGGTCACTCCATTATAATGTAATCTTTAAGAAACATTGTGTTCCTATCCCTTCAGTCTCTGAACGAGGAGGTAGGAGCCTAAGCACCAATTAGCAAACATTGATGACTGAGCCACTTTGACCAGCCTCCCCTAATGTCCTGTACTACTTTTGACTAGCTCACTCCCAGTGTTTAAAAGCATTCCCACCTTTGTTTCAGTGGAGTCCAGTTTAATCTCTCTCCCCAGTTGCACTGGTCTTGACTACTTTCTTCAAGAAAGTATTCCTTATCTCCAAGTTTTGGTCTTTCAACTTCCTTGTCTTTTTAACTTGTGCAGTGCAATTTCCCTTTGACTATGATCGAGAGTGAAAATTCTGAACTCTGGCTCCATTTTACTGCGCAAGTCATATAATCTCACTAAGCTTCCGTTTGCATGAGTAAAGTGGAGTTTATGGTACCTACGTGCAGGATTCCTATGAGGATGGCATGGGTTAATGAATGTAAAGGTCTTGGCATGCTCTGAGGTATACTAGGTACTCCATGAAGTTTCAGTCTTACCTTTTTGGCTAATGACTACATAGAAAGCTTCCTGATAGCTTTTTTCCTTCCTTCCTTCCTTCCTTCCTTCCTTCCTTCCTTCCTTCCTTCCTTCGTTCCTTCCTTTCTCTCCTTCCCTTTCCCTCCCTCCCTCCCTCCCTTCCTTCCACCTTCCACTTCTTTAGTGTACTTACTATATGTTTCTGTTTGCTAAATTACCCATATGTACATTTCTGGGATCTACTTTGTAAAGTGAAATCTATCTAGTTTTTTAAATAGATAAAGATAAAAAATGCATCATAAATAGTGAAAGCAGGAATCCAGTTACGCACCTGGCCCTGAAGTCGATTGCTGTAGGGCGCAGGGATCAGTTACTGCTGAGACCGTGCTGAGAAACAGCACCTGTGTGCAGGAGAGGCAGAGCTGCTATGCTGTGTTTGCAGACACGCTAGCAAGCTGTGTTCTGCAGCAAATGAAGAAAAAACTCTGTGCTGTTTATATTTTGAAGTTCAAAACACCTCCTACTTAGGCTTTCCTAAAAGCAAAAACTTAAACTAACATTTAAATACTAAATTTTCTTTTAATAGATATTTTAAAATGCAAGTTGTCTTTCAATACTACTCTGTTGTTTTGTAGCTACATCATGAAATGTCTCAATCTCTAAATTTTAAAGAAATATGTATGAAACAACACATTTTAAAAGTTGAAACTGCTTTCATTTGGGGAGGGAGCATGGTAGCATATAATTGGGAACTGCTGCACTGTGACTGTGCGTCAGAATAAGCGTCTAGGCAGAGCAGCGCCCCCAATCAGTGTATGCTTTCTCTGTGACACTGCTTCTTCCTCCTCCTCCTCCGAAGCAATCAGAGAGAGACTCACCTGGATTGCCTTCTGACTTTTAACAGCTTATATTCTGTTTGGAAACCCTCTGTGCAATTCCGACTGACTTACAAAGATAACAGTGACGGCATGGACCTGTCTGAGAGGTCGAAGTACTGCGCTGATGTTCCATTCTTAAATGCAGACAACGTGCTTCTGTCATTACCTCTTACAGTCTCTTCACTATTTTTATACTTCCTGTTAATGGGGGCTCCTGTAACTTTTGGTTTGTATTTTCCCATTGTTTGTTCTCATCTCCCTCTCTGTGCTTGAAACAATTCCATGTTACTGGGAGGGGGTTACAAGAAAAGGCAGAGCCTCATAGGCTGTATGAATACAGATAAAGAGACGTGGTTTATAGATGTCTAGATACCCACTTGGAGGGAAGGGAATTTGGGAGGAAAATAAAAAGACTGAAAATCTAAGTCAACTCAGAAACACGATATGCCTGTGATGAAGTAAGGCTTTAGCTTGGGAAGTTAGTAGTTATGGCCCCCAGCTGTATATATTTTATCCTAAGGCACCATTTGGTTTAATAAAATGAAGATCTAGGGCTGCTCTTAACCTAACAGTTTCTTAAGACTTAATTATAAAGGCTATATTTTGAGAGGACAAAGGCATTATTCATTTGTCCATTCATGTCTTCCAGGTTTATCTTGCAGATTATGGACTTGCCTACAGATATTGTCCCAGTGGGAACCACAAACAGTATCAGGAAAACCCTAGGAAAGGCCATAATGGGACGATGGAGTTTACTAGCTTGGATGCCCACAAGGGAGTAGGTAAGTTTCTCTTTTCTTTTTCTTATTTTTATTTCACAAGAATAGTTAAAAGAGTAACAGGACTCCATGAAATGACCTTTGCATAGTCCCTTTGACGAGTAAGAGCACTGGTGAGATTTTTATCAAAAGGAGTGAATTCCTGTGTGTCAGTGAATATTTGTGTTAACGTGGGGGAGGTACAGACTGTGGCGAGTGAAAAAAAGCAAAAAGGGTGTCAAGAAAGCAAAGTTTGATGCTCATTTGGGACAGGAAATTACTAGTTTGTGTAGGTTCAACTTGGAGGTCAGCAACTGGATTTTTCTGCTGTAGTGAACATCAGAGGTTTGGCAAAGGCGTGCACGTGAAGACTTGCTCCTGTTTTTCATTGTGCCCTTATCAGAGCCTTGGGAGATGCCACCTCTCAACACGAAGACAATCTTTTCTGAAACTATGAAGTGTTAACTTGTGGAAATCTCTCCTAGTCTCTTTTCATATATCTTACTTATTTAAACTCACTTTGATGGTATTGGAAACACATTTGCAGGTAAATTACATACATAGTCCTTTTATTGGATATTGATTGTACTGCCTTGCATTCCAAGGCAGACTTAATTCAACAATTCCCTAATTAGTTAAAGTCATAACCTATGTCTTGTATTCATTTACCATTAATTAAACCTTAGCTGTTTATTACACTGCAGTCCAAATCCAATAGCCGACCCAGAAAGCCATGGAAAAGGAAGTGGGAGGTCAATATTGAAAATATATGGCACGGAGTCCCACTGATGGTTGCTTTGTTCCCAATCAATATGGTCAATGCAACTGTACTTTTTTAGTTGCTCTGTCAGCAAGACAAAAAGTCAATTCTAATGTTATGCTAGTAAAAAAAAAAGGGTGATTATTGAAAAACTTTGGTTTTCAAAATTATATTTTTTAAACTTTGTTTATAAAAGTGTTTTCAAACATGCTAAACTATACAAATAATTTTAAACAGCATTGAAAGAATCACATTCTCACTAAAAGGCAGTTGGACATTTGTACTTGTTAATGACTGTTGAACTGTTACCCTAAATGGAGTCTTTCTAACGAGTTTTACTTGGTGCAAACAACGGTAATATTATTGCTTTTCCTATTAAAAGGACCATTGGCCATGTAATGTAGAGGGTCTCGATAATTTTCCAGAGCAATTAAAACCCACCCTGGTTTACAGGAGGCCAGTGACAAAGGGAGATAAGTGCAGGTGTGTCTCCTCCTTCCAGGAAGACTTGTGGGTTACATCTTCTAAAATGGAAATTAGCTTTAGTACTTTGGATTAGAGTAAAAGAAATTGCTAAATTACTTTTCAAGAATAGTTTGGTTAGAAAAGTAATGATCACTCAAGTTAAGAGTGTGTGTTTTTCCACCATGTACATTGTTAATGAATCAATGAGCATTTAAAGATATAAACGGGACATGGGTTTAATTAAGTTAGAAATGTAGGAATCAAATGCTCATTGATACAGGGTTCTTGTTCGATTTAAACTTCTTTTACCGTCAGTGACTTTTGTTCTTCACTCCTGCCAGATTTATTAGTATAAAAGAACTTTCATAAACCTGGGAGTACTTTTTTGTTAGTGGGATAACTGGAAATTACAGATTCTTAAGCATTTGTCTGGTTATGTTAACTTATAGTTGGGCCACTTGTTTCAGCTGGTAGATCTAATCCTGATACACTGTGGTACTGACCATTAAAACAGCTAAGAAACCAGTGTGATTGTTGAGTGGGAAGAAGAGCTTTTACTTGTTGGTCTGGTCAGCGATTGAACTGTGGTAATTCTGAAAGTCCTCTCCAATTATTCCATAGTTTAGGGCAGTGTTTGTGCTATCTTCATAAAGATTTGAACAAATTTTTATTCTATAGTCCATTTAAGTTGTTTCTCCCCTAAGTAATAATACATGTAATGAGTAGTACAAATTTCACCATGCTCCGTCTTCAGAGGAGAATATTGAACTGAAAATGATGGTAGGAAAATATTTCATCCCAGGAGGACTACTCAGGGAAGAGCATATCTTACAAATTTTTGGTATTTGTTGGAAAGTTATATGCTGGAGTAAATATTCATTTTTATAGGTTTCATAGGATTCCTATAAAGATTTCTTTAATGCATTTACAATAGAATATGTACTAAACTTATAGGCATATCTGTATCTATATATAGATATACATAAATATATGCAAACATACACAGCTGCATGTATATATATAACCATATATATATATATACACACACACACACTCAAGTTTTAATATGCAGTTTTAGTATGGTATATAAAATAAAGGGTTTTATATCCTCAGATGTTTGAACTCGTTCCTAATATTTTGCATTTACTTTTCCAAAATAAAACATTCCACTTTAGATTTTTGCTAGAAATGAAATAATTATTTAGCCATATCTAGGAACCAGAATAAGCAGGGCCTCAAATCCTGTAGGTTAATGCAGAAGGTCAGATTCATAAATATTTATGTTTACTTTCAGTCCAGTCACTATGTAGTTTAATCTTAGAAAAATCCTTTCTATACCAGTACAACTAAGAGATCAAAAAAATACTTAGAAAGATAATGCAAAGGAAAAGATAAAGAACAAAGCAAGTTGTCACTTGGAAATGGACCCTGTGGTTGTCGAGGCAGTTGGTGTGTGTCAGGGGTGTGTGTGTCCCGTCAAGCCCGGGGCAGTGAGTATTCAGGCCACAGTGTGAAAACGGTTTACGAATTAGCCATTTCACAGAGACTGTTCACCTGATCAGACTCTCTGGTCTCTGCCCTTTTTGTCATGGTTATTCATAAACCATAGCTAACTCTCATTTTTTCTGTGGATTAGTTGGTTTTATGATGGAGATTGTATAAGGTGCCAATCGGCAGTTTCACCTAAGCATTTTCTAGTTTAAGTAAAAGCAGGATTACTTGTATTATTACAAACCAAAGAGATATATGGAAATGGATGGCTAGATTGACAGAATGGATAAATATTCCTGGAACTATCACGCACACATTTATCTAAATGTTTTTTTAAAAATTGCAGTTACTCTTTCAAACTTAATTTTCTTGTGTGGCCCAAAGGTATTTTCTCAGTGGCTGAAGTTCTTCATTTAGTGTAAAATTAGGGTAATGTATGTTGGGCTTATCCCTTTTATTATTAATTTTTTATTCTTCATAAAAACTAACATGTATAAATATTGACATATATTGGGCTCATTGCCTAATAATTAAAGAGAATTATATCTGTGTCAAATATACTATTTTAAAATTTGTTACATTCTTTGTAATGTTAAAAAAGCAATATTTGGATCAATGTGTGGTATGGATTTTTGTAGATTTTTCTACTCACTGAGGCATGCAGTCAATACCTAATTTCTCTAGAGATATACTGCATTTAACATATTGAGCTTTTTTAAATACTTTAGACCTGTACATTGAGTGTATAATACCTGTTTCAATTTGACATCATTGATGACCATAAAATATGATGTCTAAATTGCATTTTAAATGTCTGTTTATTTATGTAATATATTCAGTATCAGGGAAAGATATAGTACATACTTTTTTTATTTTTGCCAATTGCTATCATATATAAAATCCAAGACTTGTGTTATTTCTTGCATGGTTTCATTTCACTCTAATTTAGCACTCCAACTTACAAAATATATGTGAAATAAACTGAGAATGTATTTTCATGTTACCAAACTTGGGGAAGTGACATGGTTTACACAAAATTTATCCTCTTAAACAATGATTCAAAAAAGGAACCCATTTTCAAAGATAAGATGTCAAGGAAAACCATCAAAGTATTGATATGCTCTGCTGGATCTATTAGTAATCAGAAAAAAAATACTGTTGATTTCTATTTTTAGGTAAATTTGATTGCTATAAATAGTATTTGGTTGATGTGTTTCTAAACAATAATGGGGATACTATTTCTTCTCCATGGCATGACCCAATTTTGACTTTTTTTATTAAAGATTTTATTTATTTTTAGAGAGAGGGATGGGATGGAGAAAGAAAGGGAGAGAAGCATCAATGTGTGGTTGCCTCTCACACACTCCCCAACTGAGGACCTGGCCCGCAACCCAGACATGTGCCCTGACTGGGAATCTGTTCGGTGACCCTTTGATTTGCAGCCTGTGCTCAGTCCACTGAGCCACAGCAGCCAGGGCCCAATTTTGACATTTAGACATGACTTTTAAAGTCATAACATAGGTGGAACTGTTTGGCTGGGTTAAGAATACACATTGGCCAAAAGTAAGATACCTTTACCTTTGCTCTATTGAATTAACTTTTCCTAAGCCTTCACTATAGTGTTTCAGAAACACCCCCCAAAACAAAACTAAGGCTTAGAATTTAAAAGGTACAGAAAAAATAAGAGACCTCGATTTAATATTTTATTTGCAATGTCATGCACTGCATTCTTTTTTTCTAGTAACCTTTTTGAATTTGCAAAAATTTATTGCCACTATAGCATTTCCCAGCATTTTACACATCTGAATTTACAAAATACTAACATAGGTTACTAGTTAGAAAAATAAAACTGAAGTCAAATTTGTTTTGCATATAGTCCCCTTTGCTTGGTCAGGTGAGTGTCTTACTCAGACATGTTCTGCTTTCTTATTGTCATTTCTGAGCGTGTAAGCTAGTATTTAGGACATTTAAACTCTGTCTGCTTCGGGCAGAAGTTTTCAAGTTCACTTTATTATTTTCTACCAAACTTGTTTTTGTTCACACTTCATAACATTACTCTGTATTACAAATAAAACTAAACAGAAAAAACTTTAGGCAAATAATCAGACCCATTTTGGGATTAACACGTGCACTTTTCTTTTTCTTCCAGTCTCTTTCATTTCATTTGATGAATTGGGCCCAGATGATTTCACACCGGTTTGTTTTTAGAATAAGGACTAGTTCTCTAAGGTAGCCCCTCTGTAGTTCTTGTACCAACTTTAGAGGATGGTTTAACACTTTGTGAATTAACATTTTAACTAGACACCCTTCTTCATCAGAATGAAGTAGTTTGAAAGAAACAGTATCTTGAAAGGATAGTTGCATAAAAAAATTTCTTAATGGTACAGGTTGGACCTCAGGATCTGCTGCTTGTTTATTCCTTACCAAAAGAACTCTCTTTGAGTCAGTATATCTTTTGATATTTTAAATTAAAATACTGCTGCAAATAATTCCCTAACTATAGAAGTGGTATGTGTAATGTTGTTTGAATGGTGTTAAAAGTAATGATGGAGGCAAAGTAATTATTTGATCAAGTGTGGGCTTTGGATATGAAAGATGGATTTCAGTGCAGAGCTGTGTCGGTTTTTGTCTGTGATATTGAGCAAGTTATTTAACTTCTCTGAGCCTCTGTTTTCTTATTTGTCAACAGGGTTAATAATACTTACCTTCTGCTATTAGGATAATTAAATGAAATAATGTAAAAGTAGTTAGAGTGTCTGGCACAGCAGCAGCTCCATAAAGCACATCAGTTATTATTATTATTATTTTCAACCCAGGCTGGGAATGTACCCTGGCTGGGAATCGAACCTGCGGCACTTTGGTTCTCAGCCTGCGCTCAATCCACTGAGCTACGCCAGCCAGGGCTAGTTATTTTTATTTTAATGATGCATTTCAGTGTCAATTGTTTCTGTAATCTGCTTGCTAGTGAAATAGCACTCAAGTTCCCTCCCACCCCATGCCTTTTTTTTTTCAATTGTTGTTACTCCTGGTGATCCCATACAATTTAGAAACATTGAGCAGTCGAGAACAACATAGGCTTTCCATGAAAAGAGTCATTCACCTTGCTCCGTATTAATAAGCTAAATAAAAGTTAGATGCTAAATTGTATTTAGAAACTAACAAGAGAGTATAGAAGAAAAATATTAATAACTAAAACATACCATTAGTGATTGTATTAACCATCACATGTAACTGAAGAACCCTGTGTTACAGTGTGGCGATTGTGGGGGGAGGGGGTGGGCGAGGGTGGGGGAGGGCGTGGGGGGTCAGTGGTGATGGGAAAAAACAATAAAATAAAAAGTAAATGAACAAAGGAATACAAATTATACAGAAATAAAAGAATCCATAATATATTTCAGCCTTCAAATTTAAAAAAAATATTTTTTATAGTTAGACATTAATAATCCTCTTCAACTATAATCAACTCTTGTTTTTACTTTCGGCATTTTATTTCTTTTGAAATACAAAGGAAATACCTAGAATAATGTAGTAAATATCAAAATATTCATTTCCTAGATTCAATAATTATTATTTTTAATGTCTTTATATTTTGATGTACTTTAAAGTCAATTAAAGATATATAGGGTCAATTCATTGTGTTATTTACATATTGTCTAGAGTATTTAATTTTAATTAAATTAACAGGCATTAAAATCACTTTTCTGTGTACAGCAGATGGAAAGAAGACATCACTGTAGGTAGAATCTTAGCATTTGACTTCACTAAAATACATCAAACTTTTAATTTGTTTTTCTAGGAGGGAATTTCAGGCAGCATACGTATTTAGAAACACTTTTAGTACACCTGTCTTACCCTTTCATGGTGGAAAAGAGTAACTGTAGGATGTTTTAAAACATCACACGTATTTTCTATTGAACTTAATGGAAACAGTGGTAAAACTCTTGCCTAATCATAGTTATTAATGTGTATATACAGTAAAAGAAAATAAGTAAAAAGTTGAAAATGTGATCATGTATTTTAATTAGATAAGACGAAACCATAATAGTGAAGGAAAGTTAACTCTCAAAGGGCTGTTTCAAATGAAGACCAGTTTCCAAAAGATTGGCTTCAGAAATCTAAATGACTTGTCATTACGGCAGCTTCCTATCAATTAATCCCTCAGTTGGAGGGTGGGGGGAAGTGACTGGGAGGGTTCATTCCATTTTAATTCTTGATTGTTTTTCCTCAGAGAGCCTCTAGTGTGAGGCCTGTGTCATCCAAACAGGTGCCAGAATAGAATTTTTTGAAAATTAGAGGATGTGAATTTTCTTAAGTGGTGCTAATCAGGAATTGCCACAGTGGAAAAGGGACTTGTGAGCACATCTGTACAAACGGAACCATTCCATTATTAATGGGAGATTTATTACTGAAGAAATCACTCCCAAACAGTGTGCTAGCGATCGTGTTTTTATTTCCATACGAGAGCCAGCACTTGCATTAGGACATCGTGGAAGCCTGTGCAGAGACTAAACGGCCCCCACGGGACTGGAGCGTTCTGCCGGACTGAAGGGCCTTTAATAAGCCAATACTCTAATAGCAGTTAAGATGGAGTGTGTGTAAGGGCTAATTTTGTCTTCTGCTTTTATAATAACTCATGTATGGTAACCAAAGTAGTTGTGACGTGCTAGGAGCTTTGTTCTCTGGTAACTTTTTAAAATAAAAACTAAGTTGACTGAGCGGCGTATTGGACTTTGTTTAATGAAAGATAACAAAACAGGATCCCTGCTCACAGCACATGTAACAGCCACAGATGACACTTAGGAGGCTGCATATCCCTGCATGGATGAGCATTCAAATGATGGTAGAAACGTGAATATCAGCCTATTGTCTTGTAACAATTTGGAATGGTTATAAAAGTGAGTTTATTTTGTGGGATTTTGTTCATGTTTTAATTATTACTTCAATAATATTTGTTATATTTGGCATGTTCCTTAGATTTCATTGCCCATCTTTTGGAATAAAGCACTTTAAAAAAATAAAATTATGATGGAATCAGTCTATAGAATTTAGTAGTTTGATCTAAAGGATATTTGCAGTGGCCTGAAAATGTTATTTCACTGCATTTTATATGAAAAACCATCTTGTAAATGCTGAAAGCCTCTCTTTGGCTTCAGAATCGACTTCCCACCCCCTCTGCCCACACTCCCAGGCACACCGTTGCCTCATCCTGCCAGTTCCTGTTCAGGGTGTTTGATCAGAACCTTAGTGCAGCACTGTCTATATCTAAAATTAGTATCTGTAAAAGTTTAAAACCCTGTACCCAAAATAGGAGGCATATTTTATCCCATACTTTCATTAATTAAAAAATATCTTAAGAGAGACCTGTGTTTTAGTCCCGCACACTAGATGGCAGTTTTGTCATATTCTTCCACCTTCAGATGCTGCCAGTGTGAGCGGAGCAGAAAAGGCCATCAGTGTTTAGTCTGCACTCACAGGGTCTCTGCATGACCAATGCGGACCCCGTGGGCTTCCTGGAACATATGTTAGCAATTTAGCTGCAGACATTTATTTCTTTGTTTTACTGCTTGGCTCTTTGAGAAAGTGTTGGTGCCAGGTTATGGGTTGTCTGGATCATGTCAGAGGCCATGGAGATCAAGTTCATGTGACAGGCTAGACTAAGGAAGGATGAAGTTGGAGGAGGTGAGGAAACTGACCCTTACTTTCAACAGCAACAAGTCACTGCCTGTCTGTGGACTGGAGCCAAACGCTTTGCTCCTAAGTTTTACTCCAGCTGAACAAACAAAACACGTTGCCCATTTGGCTTTTTCATATTTCATCAATAGTCGTGAAATCAGTGATTTCTGTGTTTCTCAAAACTTGCTTATCCCTCATCTTTTTCTCGTAATGCTTACTCCTACAGCCCTGTCCAGACGGAGTGACCTTGAAGTCCTCGGCTACTGCCTGCTCCGGTGGCTGTGCGGGAGACTACCCTGGGAAGCGTGCCTGTGGGACCCTGTGGCTGTGCAGACTGCTAAAACAAAGTAAAGAGTTTCAGTGTTCCACCATGTGCGGCAGCAGGTCTGAGGGCATCCGTTACAGGGAGTTAGTATCCCAGGGAAGGCACCGTGTACCCAACGTGATAACCAAAGCACATTTCTTAAATTTGAAAAACAGTATTTACCAAAATGAACAGCTTACAGACATAAAACTCATTAAGATAACAACTATGAAATCACATGTATGTGAGTTGTAATAAAAACTATAAAGCTAAATAGTTGTTCCTTTACATGGTGTTTTCCAAAGCTTAGATTCTAGGTGGTGGTATTTTCAAGGAGTATTTTCAAATTAGCATTGTGTAAGTGTAGGTAGGTAGTCTGAGCTCGGTTTGACTGATATTAAATGTGCAAAGCAGCAATGTGGAATGGGACAAACGGCCTATACTTTTCGAGTGAGAATAACATGGCTCTTTTTTTTAACCCTGTGTCTTGAAGGGAGTATATTTTGTTTCTGAGAGGAGAAACAAACTAAAATTTTATATGAGGTGTTTATAGGAAAGATAATCTTGTGAGCCATATAAACATTTTTAATATTTCACATTCCATTTTTCTCAGCTAGAATGTGTTAGCATGAAAATTAGGTCAGACCGAGAACAGGGCGTGTTACTCTTTTACTGCTTTCTCACTGATCAGGCCTAAGAAAAAGTCAATTGCATGTAGCACACCATAGCTATTTTTTTATTATATAGCAATAGATGCTCAACAGTAGTTATCCACAGATACAATATCACAACTGGAAAAGGCAGCTATGTTTTAAATAGGGCATGTTACAACAGAAGTTTACAAAAGGGGCAGCTGATTCAGAGAAATTAATCTTCAAATTCAGTGTGGCATTGGTTCTCAATCGAGAGGAAAGCTAGCCTGCAGATGCAGAATGGTACAGATTGCATTTGTAAATACTGACATACTGAATATTATATGAAATATTTCTCCACTTGGAATGTAGATCATCCCAGTCCCTCACCCAAAATGAACACATTTATATAAGTCAATATTAGAACCATCTAATCAGTTATTTACTGCAGTGATCGATGTGTCCATATTAACCCCCATGGAACTGACATTTTTCAATATACGGGTCAAGTCAAAGCACAGTGATGGGCATGTGTGAGTAGTCTCAGTGTTCAATTTTCCACCTCAGTTTACTGAACTTGAATAATGTACTTTATTCAAAGATTAGCATTTTAATTCTAATGATTATATGTGTGTTTTTCTCCTAAGATTTACCAATATGATTTTAGATTTTTTATCAATATGCATATATTGATGCATTCATTGTTGATATCTTTAATATGCCTATGTGTATATTCAAATATAATAATAGGGGATCATATAAAATAATACTCTATACTGCTAATAAATATAATCTCTTTACATTTCGGGGATCCTTACATATGTTAATATCTTCAGTTTGATTTGATTACTAGTAAAAACCTATAGGTCAGTAAAGCTAATATATTATGAAATGTACAATTAAGGTAAACTGTAGACATTTTCAAACTTCTTATAGTGTGTAATACATAATTATAATTCATTCAACTTGCTGAGAAGGCATAACACTGAATTTCCCGTCAGGGCGTGTTTGCATGTTCAGCCACGACACTGATCTCCCTCGTGCCCTTTATCTTCCTGACGTGGGGTGATACTAGATCAGAGCATTTCTTGTTGCCGTTCTGCCTGCGCTGGGGTTTGTGACTCAGACATTCATACTAGTGATTTTAGTTGACTGTTTATGCATTTGTGGCTGAAGCAATTTAAGAGAGTTGTACTTGTTCCATGTAAAACACTAAAAATTGATAGAATAATGGGGCTTTTTTGTTTTGTCTTTTGGATACTTCTTGTTAACCTGTTTCATCATAGGGTAGCATGAAACACTGCCCAATGGTAGGTGCTGGAGGAAAAATGCTCTTAAAATCCAGACACAGTTTTTCTATGTATTTGTGTATGTTTTTAAGAAAAAATGATGATAGATATTGCTACTTTTACATTCTACGTTTTACACATGTAAACTTGAATTAAAGCATTTATTATTTAGTTTTAGGTGACTGATATAAAATTGGTCACTGAGAACTGGGGGACCTTCCCCATCCCTGCTTTCCATCTTAGCATTGCCAGTGGGTGAAAAAAGGACTAAAAGTCAAGGTATTGGCGATTCACCAACACAGAATTTGAGTTTTGCTTTCTAATCAGGACGGTGGATCACTGGATTGCAAACAAAGTCATTGTGTGTTCCTCTGTTTTGTTTCAGTCTGTTGGATGAGCTCCCCGAGTCAGTGTTTAAATGGGCTCCTTCCAGAAGCAGTTGCTGTAAGTCTGGATGATAACTTCGACCTTCTCCAATGTGCTTTGCCGGTCACCACATTTGTCACTCTCGTTTTGTAGCTGTTTAATCTACCCCCTCCCGTTCCACAGGCATGGGAGGAACCTCCTCAGGGTTACACATAGGTTGCTAGAGCAGGGACTGGTTAGATCCTTCTTGACATTAGAATGAAAGAACACTGCATAAAAATACTTAGACAGCTTTCTGGGCTCTGCCTACTGGGGTTTTTTCTTTAGATACAGTTTATGGGAATCATGCCTAGGTTAAATAGTCAGCTTTATGTGGTATTTCTAGAGTTGACTTTCTATCTTCCTTTCTCCATATATTGTTGAAAGAAGATAATGCTGATCTAAGAAAAGACCACTTACAATCAGTAATGAAAAAAAAAATCATAAAACACTTGCATGCTATTTAGACCCTGGGTCACAGCACCAGAGTTTTGAACTGGCAAAGGCATATATGGTGTTGGGCTTTGAAGGTGTGCTTCATTGAATGGTTTTCCCTTTCAAGTTAGTATAGACCATTTCTGGAATTACTTAATTGACAGTATTATTAGTAAGAATAATAAGTCAATTGAGAACTACCGAAGTGCCTGTTGTTTTCAGTACATGCTGGGCACGGTGGGCACCAGTGTAACAACTGCGTTACGTTGTCTTATGGAGAAGAGCCCCCCTTTGGCTGTCACGCTTGCTTTTCCTCCGACAGACAAGCAGAGTGAATCTTGTTCTCTATTTATATTGGCCAATCTCAAAGCTAGCTTTTAGCTGACTTATGAAAGTGAATAGGAACACTGACCCTCTAGCTAAGGTCAAATAGTGTCAGTTCCCATCTGAGAGTTTAAAAGAGTTAAAGCATCTTAAACTTATATTTATAGCCCTTCTCTGACAAGAAACCAAACTGTTCATTTTCGTAGGAAACAAGAACAAACCAGAACTGCTTTCCCTTTCCCATTCCCTAAGATCCTAAGTCTGCCTCCCCATGTCCTGCTGTCCCTTTTCTTCTGATGGAGCGGGGCGGACAGTAGTATGTTCCCATTTGGGAGGATGGTGGAAAGATGGAAGCACTGCATTTTTTTGTAACTGCACTGAGTAACTTGGTCCATAGGCCAATATTCTGTTTTGACTAATATTCTTATTGGCATTTTTACCGAGCTATATAGTTTATGTTTTACTCAACAAGACAGCAAAAAAAGAGAGCTAGGGAGATGTCAGAATTTGTTTTTAATTGTATAACTTCTTTCCCTTTCCTGTCCCTCTTGCACAAAAGGTAACTGTTCAGTTTCGGGTTAGAAAAGCAAGCCCAGATGTCTTGGGTCATACAAGACAAATGCCTGCAGGCCAGTGTGCATTCTGTGACACTTCTCGCCCTAGAGCTAGGGTAAGAGAAGAGAGGAGTGATACGGGAAATCGTGGGAGGAGTGCCAGGTTCCTCTTGTTCAGCACAAACCATTTGAGTCTATAGTATTATTTTATAAAATGCAGACTTCTTTTTTTAAAGCACAAAACATTGAACCTTTAATAGTAACTGAAGGTCTCTTAATTTTGTCAGTTATGCTTAGGAGAATGGGTATTGTGAGCAGGAAAATTCTACTGATTTGCAAAAAGGTTTATTACTAAAACATTTTATAAAAAAGCCAGGAAGTTGACAGTGTGCAGGCCCAACTCAGTATAATAATAGTAGTCTCAAAAGTTTCTGTCTCTTGAAATGATAGTTAATATTTCACTAACTTAAAAAGCAGATAATTGAAGAATATCATGATTGCATAGTAGTCAAAGTATTTAGTTTTATAGCTCTGGAAATGTGCTAGCAAATTAAAAAATGTATTTAAAATAAGCAGCCAAGATCTTGAAAGGCTAACATGGAAACCCATACTCCATCCCAACAGCCTAACCTTCAAGTTTACAATAATAAATTTGTAACACTGGTGGCTCTTTCCTTTTTCTCCCTCTCCTTCCCCATGGGGCCCTTGTTTTTTCAAGCCCCAGGCCTGTGAAGGTGCTGCAGGATCGCTGCCCTCAGTTGGGGGAGTGCGAGCCTTCCATTGTCTTCCAGCAGTGACTTGTGGAAAGCGTCCCCAACATGTTCAGCTCTGCTCTCCGTTTGGGATATTTTGGTTAATCGAATTGCAATATATCAACCAAACTTGGCTTACCGATCTTGAAAGGCCCAAAGAACAATAGAATATTTATATTAAAATAGCAGTGACTGTAATCTAACCTTTTTTTCCTTGATCATCCCTTCAGGAATTGGATGCCCCCATAGGGCTCCTGAAAACATGAGTTATAAATATGATGAAACCACAGCACTTGCTAGTTAACAGAAACCTGGTTGAGCGAATGCTAGATAACAGGTTGTATATATCTTACACCTTAGAGAGAAAAAAACTAGGTTGTCTAACTGCCACAGTATCCAAAACAAACACACAAAGAACCCTTGGAGCCAGGAGTTCTCATTTTAGTCACATTAGCTTAATGTTCCTAGAAAAATAGCCGTGGACAGTATGGCGCATCACGGTCACTCTCTGACTTTCCCAGAGGAGACACAGATGACGACTGTTCCTTTTGGAATGTTTCCCCATGGGCAGTGAAACCTGGTTTCTCTGCATTTCCCCATTTGAATGAAGGTAGGGGAAGGGAAAGGTTAGGAAGTCGCTTCTGCCAGCCCACCAAGCTTCCCAGATTTTCTTACCCAGGATAAAGGAAGAAGTACTTGTGTTTGGGTCAGTAGTAAGTTTTTTTGAAGAGTCTTGTAAAGACTAGTTTGTGGAGGATCTAAATGTCACCATAAAGATATGATATCATAATATTAAAAAAAGCATGCCCATTTTTGTAAACAGCATGTGGTATTATCACTCTTATCTGGATTTTAGATTGCACCTTCAAGAAACAAAAATGCAAAAACTACATTTGTTTTAAGGTTGCTGTTTGTATCTTTGAGGTACTAATTCTACTTGTATTTAGAAGTTTGTAGTTCATACATTTTTTTTTTTGCGGGGGGGAGTTACTTTATAGTCCTAGGCAGGAGATTACAGTAGAGCCAAAATAAAAGGTGCAACTTCTCATCCCTCTGCGGTGTGTCGGGAGGACTGCGGTACCACGGACACACCGGGTCGGCTGGGCGTGGGTGACGCAAGGGGGGCTTGGAGAAGTCCACAGTCTGTCACAGCTGAACACATACAATTCAAGGCCATTTCTAAATGAACTGTTTCAATCTCAGAATCAAAGCCTTGATTAAAATTTGGAATGATTTTTTCCTCTGAAGTAAGGAGATTTATAATAAATAATAGTTGTTTTTAACTGAATTTTTAAAACTTCAACATAAAAAAGTTTGATCTATTGTATTATTCAGGTAGTTATTAGTAGTTCCACCCCATAAATCAAAATCTCTAACTATAATTTTAAAAATTTGCTTACTTTGAGAAGATTAGTGAATTACAAATGCCAACAAAGATGTGTAAAATATTACCAGTTTCTCTTGTCAAATCTGTAGGTCACCGTATATTTCAGTCATTTTTGGATATCATTTAAAAAGTGCTTTTCATTGAATTGTTCACTCTTAGTTTCTTCAGGATGGGTGTGTGCATAAGAGAAAAATAGATTTGGGGGATTCTGGGGTCCTGACATCCCTTGCCAATCATTAACGTCATGTAAAAAAATTTAATTCTTCACAGGTGAAATAGCCCAGTATTTGGTATGTGCTCATAATTTAGCCTATGATGAAAAGCCAAACTATCAAATGCTCAAGAAGATTCTGAACCCAGGTGGAATACCTTTAGGACCATTGGAATTTTCCGCTGAAGGACTGAGTGTAAATATGCATACTCCAAACAATCACAAAGTAAGTAACGTAGTCCCTGGGATCTTATGCTTGCCTTCTGTGAAGTGTTCTTCCAGACGAGGCTGTTTTAGGTTTCAAATGAGTTTGACAACCTGGTTTCTTGCTTATTATATTCAATTCCTCTCCCCTTAACTTAGCTCCAAGAAATCTTATTAAATGTTCTCTTGATTTTGACATATTATTTCTTACAGAAAAGTAGTAGGTTCCGTGTTCTGTTGTGTACGAAGCCAACACTGACATCAGAGAGAGGTCAGAGAGAGTACTAGGTTAGGGCTAATCTGACTTTATTCATGAAAGCCTTTATTTGCTGCTTTTCTTTAGATTTTTTTTCTTCTTTTGCATACCATTTGGCCATGATTTGGTGGTAATGATAATAATCTTAGATTAAACATTATTTCTATGTGCTGATATTTCAATATATAAACAATTCTTTAAAAAAAGTTATTTTTAAAGTTGTATCTCCATTACTCTGCTGTCTTCCAACTGACACCCTTACATCAAATTAAAAAAAAAAAGAGTTGGAAGTTGAAAAAAGAATTAAACTTGAAACAATACAAAAGAATTAGTGCAAAACATTTTTTAAGATGGTGGGGGAAACCTGTGACAGCTGTCAGCAGCATTACCAGACAGGGGACCAAATGTCCATTTCCTCCTTGACACTATCCACATGCAAAAAAAAAAAAAGGTAGGACAGCTTTTTTCCCCTCACGCGTGTATAATAAGGTAGGGTCAGGATGCCATTCGTTTTTAATATTCCTTGTGAACTTTGGATCATCGCAAGTGTTCATGAGCCAAGAATGCAGGATGCAAACTAATGTGACTGATTGGCTGCTAGATGAATGGTGAGTCAAGTATCAGTGCACAGATGGTTCTGATTTGCTGAATTTTGTAGCTGCTGCAACTGAAGACATAAAATATCCTTCTAGTCATAAATTAGCTCTTTGGAAGCAAAACCTTGACACCAGAGCTTTACAACCTTCAATTAGTAGGGAAAGAAGTATTTGAATGACTGTGGTATTGACATCTGTAGGCCTGCATAGTAATCATTCCTAATAGAAGAGAATATCTGTTTGAGGAGGTTTTGCATGGCTAATTAACTACCAGTGAGAATATGTAATTTTTTCATGATCTCCTGATTGTCACCTTTCTCTCATGATACAATTACATTTTATTGTAGTGAGTGCCTCACAAACCAATTGTCAGCACTATTTACTATTGCAGCAGGCAGAACAAAAGTTCATGTTTAATAAAAAGCCACTGGATTTTGATCTTGGTAATTACTGAGACTTATTTTAACAGTTTTATTGACTTTTGTGTTTTTATCACTTTTGCAACAAAACAAAGAGCCATTTCCTTGACATAGTATTTCCCTTGCAATAATGGTCATCATTTAATCTACACTAATTTAGGTAGGTTTTTCCCTTTTTTGTAGTTTTCCAGTTTCATAAACTTAATTGAAATATAAAAGAAGCCATTTTAAAAACCAATAGCTGTGTCCTCTGATATAAAATTGTAGTTATTCATCAGAATTTTCAGTTTCATCAAATTCAAAGGATGTTGTGAAACCATTATATATGCAGAGAATAGAACATAAAACAGTTTTTGCAGTGAGCCTCAATCAAATATATTTTATTCTTTTGATTAGAACATTTCAATTATGAGTAAAAGGAAAATACTAAGAATGATATACATTCTTAAGACCTTAGTTAATTTCTGTTAACAATATGATCAGCCTCAGTATATAGAAAGTATGCTGGTTAGGGATATATTTCACAGCTTATCAATATTTATTGGGTAATGATTTTATTTCTCTAATATTTTAAGTACACAGATATATTTAATAATTATAGTATAAAATATAGGTTCACTATACGTGGCTAAACTTCAGTATCTTTATTTTTAAAGTTTACAGATTTTGTGATACTGGAAAACCAAACTTGAAAATGTTCAAAAGCTAAGTATCACTATATGAACTGCCCTATATTCCGTCCTTTTGCGTGATAGAGAATAAGACAGTTTCTACGATTGATCTTTTCCATAACAAACACAATTTTAAGTCCAAAATGAATATTAATCACCTGGCCCCAAATTTCTCTCCTTTTAGTCACAGAATCCCCTTCAAAACATTTCTTATTCCTCTGAAAAATGGATCACTCTAGTTATTTAACACACTAGTGAATGAACTTTGGACTTGTACTTTTTTAGACGAAGATGCTTAAAAGGAGGCCAGTGGACCAGAAAATGTATACAGTTTGATAAATAAAATGTTTCTTTCATTCAGTATTCAAAGGAAAGTTAGGAATGATTTAATTTTTAAAAATGTTATTTCCCTTAGTATGTAAGTGGTTGTGCATTTTAAATTTAGAATTCTTAAAAATATGTTTTGGTTAGGAATGAGAAAATAGCACATTGCCACAAGAATCTCAACAAACTTAAATCATGTTTTTGCAAAAGAAAAATGAGGTATTTTTTAATACTAGGTTTTAATAGGTAGCATGCACGGTTCCCTGTAAACTGGGCCTTCTTCCTAAAGTCCCCCAATACTATTACTGGAGTTAAATTGGGAATGCATTTTTGTCAAGATAGTAGAGACACTGATATTTTTTCCTGAAAAGTAAATCTTTGGGGGTATTTGCCTCAACTGAAATGATGGTATGTGTAGCTAAAATCACTCTCTCCTAGGTCTGATGGCTCCAGAGGTAGCACTGACAAATTAGGAGAATCTGTCATCAGGGCTACCACAGTCTAGTTATGCTATCCACGGGGATTTAATGTCCAAAATTCACTGAAGGAAACCATATTTCAGTAGACTGCTGAGGTGAGCTACAGCTCTAGAATTCCCAGATGAGAAGGCTAAAGACGAATTGAAAAACCAGCATTATTGAAGTCCCAATTCAACCCTGGAATAAGCAGTTTCTTCAAGAGCCAGTAGCAGATTCTTTTATCAGTTTATCAATATCTCCTTCCTTAAGGTGATAACCTGAATCCCTATGTTAATAGTATAGATACCTGGGCATGATGAGGCACCTGTCTTTCCTAAATGCTTTCCCCAGGCAGAGGAAGAGGCCAGAGTTAACATGCTCAAGCTCACCCACATTTCAGACAGTAAAGTTTGTCCCTACATTCACCCTAAATTGGATGAATTTAGGTTCCCATAGCAAATCTAGGGGTGAATATATTATTATGGGTAGTAGTAATCTTTGTGCTGAACTTAAAAGTTTACAAAAATCTTGAGCTTTTATTCTCCAAGTAAACTTGTCTTCATGTTTATTTTATGTGAGAAAAGCAGAATATACATTCTCCATTATACACACACTTTTGGCATATTAAATTTTAAGGGCCCAAAAGTGTTCCTGATTCTGTAGAACAGGGTGCAGTACTAGTGGAAATTTAGGTAAAAAGTGCCTTGTGTAAATAGCCACTTTCTCAAAATGACACCCATTTGGGTAGTATCCTTTTATTTGATTATGTGGGATGCCAAGTGTTGTATTTTTTATGACTTTGGGAAAAATGTTTACTGTGTTCACAATTACAGGTTAAACTTAATCACGCCACTTCATTCTTACCATTTTAAAACTTTCCCTAGAAACTGAACTGCGGCATAAACTAGAAGTCATTTTTTCTATTAGGTAGAGGTGCCTGTGGCAGCACTGCCTGCCCCTCCGCCACCCAACCGCAGGCAGGTGCGGCCTCTCGGAGCCCTGGATCTGTCACACCACATCTTTGTACAGCAGGGGCGCCCAGGGCAAAACCTGGGAGACCTAATGTGCCTGGCATAGAGGCAGCACCAAAAAACTCAGTATCTCAACTAATCCTTTATACCATAAGGACACATTTGCATGGTGATTGGCAAGCCAGTGTTTTATTAGGATAACACTGTGTGCAGCAGCCTTAGGAAACTCTTTGTTTCACACCAGTGGTAGGATGAGCATTTATTGCCAAGATGGAAGAATGGCTCAGGAGGTGGTTACACATGAATTTCCCCAGTCATTTGGGAGGGTTCAGTGGTGGAAACAAAGAACCCCTGAGTGATTAGGAAACAATTTCCATTTTCAGGTTACTGAAAGGCTGTGGCGTTGCTGCCCTTTGAGAAGCTGGGATCTAGGAGGAGGAGTGAATAAAGAATGATGTTGTGACAACTCAGACCTAGCCACAAACAGCAGCATATTTTAAAGGGAAGGGGTGAACACACTTGGCAACAGAAGCTAAAAATGGAGAGACTACAAATTAGGGCTCTGCTTGCCCAGCCAATGAAATCCATTCTGTTTTGGCACTGGCTACTCCATTATTTCCCCTGTACTGCTCCCATCTCCTGCCCCCTAGTTAACCCATGAAAAAAGGTGATGGCACTTGCAGCTGCTGTAAACATGACGCTGCTGAACAGGTACTTCACATAAGGGTCTTCACTGGCTTTCCATCTTCTGACTGCATTGAGAGCTCTGCCCTTCTATTTCCCTGTCTACTTCAAGGTTATTAAGAGTCAGTCATCCCCTAGATTGCACCACGATGTGAAAAAGAAACCTCAGAAGCAAGCTTGTTGTCAAACTTAACCTCTGATACTGGCACACAGTATTAGATGACATGAACTGTTACTCATCTGCTTAAAGGTTAAATTACCTGTATAGAAAAAGGAAGCAACATCATAAGTTCCTCTTACACATTCACATTAATTAGGCTCACTTCAAGGATAAAAAATCTGAGATTCTAATTAATAAGAATTTAAACTAAAAAGATATCCTGGATCCACTCCCAGCAAAGGTTAATAATAAATTCATTGCAGTTTTAAAAAGTGACAGTTTTCTGTAAAAATGCTGTTTTCAATAAGCAAGTTATCTGTAGAGATAATTCCTAAAGAGTACACAACGGAGACACGAATTTTAATTGGTCTTGTCCTACTGATGAGAAAGGGTCACAGGATTTTGCCAACTACTGTATTTTTTCTATAACATCCACTTGTTGGTTTCCTCTCAATTTCTTCCTTTTTTTCAAAGCTTGGCAAGTTTAAAATTTTCAAGAATCTGGACTTGAATGCGTTTTTTTAATGTGTCAAAAGTTTTCATTATACATTACTACTTTATCTACATCAACAGGTTGATTTGCAAAAGGGTGCAACAAAGCAAGTCAATCAGATGCAAAATAGTTTCATAGAAACAAATGCTCACAGTGAGAGAAGTGCTGAGTCCTGTGCAACATGGAGAAAAGTGCAAAAAGAGAAGCCAGTTGGATTGCTTAACAAGGACACAGCTCAGGTGAGAAATTTTTTGTTTTGTATTGTTAACAAAAGGCATGTGCTGTAACAGCATATGCCCTTTGGAAATAAAGTCCTTTTATTTTCTCCTGAGGGCCAGGGTTGTATATAGTTTTGTTCAATGAGAAGGGGCAGAAAATATCCTATCCAGCAGGTAAAAACAGAGGAGCCAACTCTAGTAATGATAGAAACAGAATGGCAGTGAGCACATTTGCATACAGATCTGATTTCTTCCTTTAGCCTAAGAATGTAATGAAGTGCACTTAAATTTTTATTCCATCTACGATCCATTAGAGACTTAACATATTCCATACTTTTACATTGGTTCCTCCAATCTAACCCTTATAATCAAATATGTAAGTGAAGTGTTTCTCTGTCAGTACAGTTGTATTTTTTACATCATTTGATCATTTGATTGGATAGTGACTTGCCTTTAGTAGGTGACTCACTCAGCCAATAGCAAGTCTTTCCTAATCTAACCTTTTTGATAAGAAGAGTACAACGTATTTGTATCTGCAGAAAGGCCATTATTTTATATGATGTATACACCATCATTTTCTCAGAGTGATCTGAAGTAGTTTACAGTGGACAATAAAATAATTGAATGCCCTCACCTTCTACCTCCCACCCCCACTCCCAAATTGGTACATCAGGCAGCTGGGATGTTAATCACTAAACTGAGCACTGGAATTTGACTCTGAACTTCTTGCCAGCCAAGGGAAAAATTTAGAAGCATACTAGTTAGGCATATTTTGTCCAACCAGGAAGCATACAAGTTTATCCAGAGAGAGAAATGCTTTTTCAGTACTAATAAGAATCTTCTGCATTTGTTCTGTTACAATTATAGTAGCATCAGTTTTAAAGTTGTAAAGGAATCTACTTCAAATCTTACAGTTCCTACTTGTAAAATAAAAGACAAATACTGCTTGGTGACAAAAATAGAGATTCTTGAGTGCTCTTTTTCAGCCCTTCCTGTGCACTAGAATCACCTGTGTAGGGCAGTGGGGAGGGACTGTAAAAATACTGATGCACAGGTTCCAAGCAAAGAACCCGATTCATTTTAATTAGGGTGGCAGTGTGATGTGTGTAGATTTTATCACTCCAGAAAGTTGTTCCCATCCTTAGTCAGTCCCTTCCCCGCAGAGATAGCCAGTGTTTTGATTCTCTGATTCTCACCCCTAGATTTGTTTTGCCTCTTCTAGAATTTCACATACGTGTAGCCATATAGTATGCGCTCTTTTGCAACTGGCTTCTCTCACTCTGTGTGTTATTACTGTTTCCATACTGTTGCATGTATTAGTAAGTTCTTTTTCTTGTAGAGTAGTACTCCATTGTGTAACGATATCACAGTTCACATATCCATGCTCTCATTAATGGACACCTGGGCTACCCCTGGCTCTAGCCACCACAAAAAAATAATTGCTATAAACATTTTGACACAAGGCCTTCTATGGACATGTTTGTTTCTCTTGAGAGGTGGATTTGCTGAATTGGAAGGCAGATGCATACTCAACTTTATAAAAAGCCAACAAATGGTTCCCCTTTTATACTTCTACCAGAAATGTACAAGAGTTCCAGCCATTCCACGTCCTTTCCAACATTTGGTGTTGTCAGTCTTTTTCATTTTAGTCATTCCAACGTGTGTATATTAGTATCTTGTGGTGATTCTAATTGTCACTGACCTGATGACTAATAATTTTGAGCACCTTTTCATGTGCTGCCATTCATATATCTTCCTTTGTGAAGTGTCTTTCAAGTATTTTAGTCCATTTTTATTTAGTTGACTGTCTTTTTAGTATTGAGTTGGAAGAATTCTTTATATATTTCATATACAGGTCTCCTGTCCAATAGCTGTATTGTGGATATCTTCTCCTTAGTGTGCAGCCTGCCTATTCATTTACTTCACAATGTCTTTGATGAGCAGAAGTTATTTTTTATTTTTATATGAAGTTCAGTTAATCAATTTTTTCTTTACAATTTTTTTTCTGTCAAGAAAACTAAGAAACCTTTGTCTACTTCAAGGTCACAGTAACTTTGCTACTTATAGAAGGCTTATTGTTTCAGCTTCCATGTTTGGGTCCGTGAACCAGCTCAAATCAATGATTGTACGTGGTATGAGGTAGGGGTTGAGGTTCGTTCTTTTCCAAATAGAAAGCCAGTTATCCCAGCACTACTTGTTTAAAAGACATTCCTTTTCCTAGTTAGATATGTTGGAAGACTTTTTCAAAAGTCAGCTGACCATATTTATCAAGTTGATAATATTTCTAAGGTATTGAGAATTATCATAAATGGGTATTGAATTGTGTTAAATGCTCTTGCTGTATCTGTTAATATGATCATTTTCATTTTTATACTATTAACATGGTGGGTGACATTGATTAGTGTTTGAATATTGAACTAATCTTATATTACTCAAATCAATCTCACTTGGTAATGGTGTCTTACTATTTTCATATGTTGTTGGATGCAGTGTGCTAGTATTTTTTAGGACTTTTGAATCTGTTTATTAGGAGTACTGATTTGTAGTTTTTATTTTATTGTCTTTGTCTAGTTTTGGTGTCAGGGTAATGCTGATGAGTTGAGAAGTTTTCCTTTCCTTCTAATTTCTAGAAGAAAATTAGTAGAATTGGTGTTGTTTCTTTTTAAAATGTGTTGGAGAATTCTCAAGTGAGAGCATATAGGCCTGGAGCTTTCTTTTCCTTTTTAACTATGAATTAAGTTCATTTACTAACTGTTCAGATGATCTATTTCAAAAGTTGGCAAAATTTTCTGTGAAGAGTTAGATAGAAAATGGGTTTTATAGGTCACATGGTCCTTGTCACAACTATTCAACTTTGCGTTATAGAACAAAAGCATCTTAATAAAATACATAAACAAATGAGTATAGCTGATTCCAACAAAATTTTATTTATGGCACTGAAATTTGAATTTCATATAATTTTCAAGTGTCACAAACTATTTTTTCCTACCATTTAAAAATCTAAAAACTAGTCTTAGTTGGTAGGTTCTAGGAAAACAGGTGGTGTGCCAGATTTGGCCTACTGACTAGTTTACCCTCCTAATCTATTTCACCTTGAGTTATTTTTGATAATTTATAGTTTTTTAAGAATTGTTCCATTTCATCTAAGTTGTCATATTTTTATGTTTAGAATTATTCATAGTACTCCCTTATTTAAATCCTTTACTGTGGAATCTGTAATATTTCTTTCCAGATATTGATTGCTTCTGTTTCCTTTTTTTTTTTTTTTTAGGTCAGGTTTATCAATTTTATTGGACTTTTTGCAGAACCAGCTTTTGTTTGATTTTTCTCCCTCTTTCTTTTGTCAATTGCATTGATTTCTGTTCTTGGATTTATTTTCTCTTTTTCTAGTTCCTTAGGATGGAAACTTAAGTCTCAATTATTGAATTAAAACTTTTCTTTTTTTCCAATATAGGTATTTAGTATTATAGATTTTCCTTCCAGCACTATGTAAACCATGTCCCTCACTTTCAGCTTGATTTTTGTTTGTTTTTTCTTTTTCTAGTCTAGGTGGAAGGTTAAACTGTTGATTTGAATCCTTCATTTTTTCTAATACAAGCATTTAATGTTATAAATATCCTGCAAAGCCCCATTTTAAATGCATCCCATGAATCCTTATATATTGTATTTTTATTAGTTCAAGACATTTTGTACTTTCTCTTGAGACTTATTTTGTGATACCTTATTATATGTTTGTTATCTTTCTGTTATTGATCTCTAATTGATATTGTCTGAGGACATATTTTGTGTAATTTTGTTTTAAATTTGTTAAGGTTTATTTTATGATCCAGGATAATTATCTGTCTTGGTGAATGTTCCAGTTGCAGTTGTAAAGAACATGTATTTCTCCCACATTGGGATGCAGTCCTCTATAAATATCAGATCCGATTGGTTTGTGGTATCATTAATTTCTTTTATAGCCTTGCTGATTTTCTCTAGTAGTTCTACTAATTACTGAGAGTGAGGTTTTTGAGTTGGGGGGAAGTGGGCTGCTGCCTCTTGGCTGTCATTTGCTGAATGCATAGCAGTGGTTGCCAGTAGGGTTCCTAGCCACAGCGTTTGAGGGTTGATGTCTCTTGACTGTTTGCTTAACACAAAGTGGGCATGGTCAGTAGGACCCTACCGCACAGTCTCCATAATGTCTGGTGAGGTGCAGGAGAGGCACAGTACAGGGAAGGACAGTCTACAAGGCTCTGCCCTATATTCTCCATAGTACCTCGTGGGGAGGGCAGGGGTCACCTTTAGTAGTGCAGGCTGGGAATGACTGACATGGCTTTCATGATTTCCATTAACACCTGGTGAGATAGGATACTACCTTGTTAGTGAGGGGATGGTCGACAGGCTCCACTCTAGTTTCCTCAGCGCTTAGTGGGAACCATAGGTTTGCTCCCCAGTTAGTACAGGGTAGTGATACTTGGCAGGGCTCCACCCCAGAGTTCCCACAGCAGCTGGTGGGGGCTGGAAGAGGTCCAGCTTCTTGGTTTTCACCTAGAGTACAGCAGGCATAGTCAAAAGGCTTCTGTCCTATAAACCTGCCATTTCCCTGGCCCCTTAGTATTTTTGGACCTTTTTTAGTCTGTGCATATTATTTTCTGATTGCAGGCTGCTTTATGGTCCAGATGAACCAGAAAGAGGGGGATTAGAATGAAAGACTCATAGCTAGGTCATTCCTCACATCCTGGGGTCTCCGTCCAGTAAGGCTTCTTTCTATTCTACAACTTTCAAAATGGTCTATATTAGTTGCTTTTTGTCTAAAGTCTTTAGTTATAATTAGCAGGAGGAATAGTTTAGAATGCTCTTACTGTCTTGTCTGTTAATCAGTGCCCCTCACCTGCATTTTGAAGGCTTCAGTGGGTATGGAATTTTTCATTCTGAACTTTAAAGATGTTGTTTCCCTGTCTTTGTGGGTGTACTTTCTTCTGATAGTAAGTTAGCCATTATTCCTACCATTGACCCTTTATATAATGCATCTCTGTTTTGGCTGCTTTTAAGATTCGCTGTTTTTTTAATCTTTGATTTTTTTAGGGATGGATGTCTTGTGTTTATTCTGCTTTGGGCTCATTGAGCTTCTTTTACCAGTGGGTTGGTATTTGTCATCACATTGGAAAATGATTTATTTGATCTGTTTCCTGCCTTAACTCTTCTTAACTTCTCCTTCTGAGAGCCAAATATATGCAGATTAGAATGCTTTGCCTTATTTAACAGGTAACTAAAGCTCTGTTCATTTTTCAAATCAGTCTTTTATCTTGCTATACTTTAGTTTGGATGTTTTTGCTGGGCCTCCCACCAATTGTCAAATTAGCTGTGAAACCCAGCCAGTGAATTTTTCATGTCGTATTTTTCAGTTCTAGAAGTACATTATATTTTCCATGTCTTTGCTGAGTTCCTCATCTTTTCACTAATTGTGTTTAACTTTTCTTTTAAGTCCTTGAACATATCTAAGTAGATATTTTATTGTTGTTTGATAACTCTACCATCTGGGTCATACATGAGTCTATTTCTATTTTTTCCCTTGTACTTATGGGTCAAATTTTCCTGCTTCTTACATGTAAAGTTTTATTGTATGTTGAACATTCTGGGTGCTAAGTTCTTGAGATTCCACATTTTATTAAAGAGTGTTGAATTTTGTCCGAACAGGCAGTTAATTTATTGGTGGTTCTGTTACAGGGTGCAGCCAAGAGGGGGGACCCCAAATGGACATTTGAAATGGGGTCTAGAACTTAAGGTGTCCAGGAGATTTTAAGATGTCTCCATCCCCCCACCCAGGGTGTGGGTTGGGGGGAAGGGACAAATGGAGCAAGGCCATTGAGATCTGTTTTGCATAGCAACAGCCTTGCAGCTACCCTCTGGCATGGTCATTTAACATATCTATAGCCTTTGGCTGGTCGCTTAGATATGTTAAATAGCTGTGATCATCTCTGAGCCAGGGGAATGGAAGTAACTTCCCCACCAACACGTGACTGGGGGCAGATCCCCCAAGCTACAGCGCCTGCGTGGGAGCTCGGAGAAGACTGGCTCCAGGACATGGGGCCACGCCTGCCCAGACTCAAGATGGCAGCCCAGTAAAGCTGGAAGGATATGAGTTCTGGCATGTGAAGCCGAGTGTGGGAGGAGTCGGAAATAAGGCTGCAGAGGAAGATTGGACTCGGGGATTTAAAATCCAGACTTGGCAGCCATTAGAAAAGAGAACCACGCGGCTTTGGCAGAGTGGGGGCTCTCCCCTTCCCGCAGCCCAGAGAGAGAGAGCCATGCGCAGCCCTGAGAAGGAGAACTATGCACATCCCAGAGAGAGAGAACCATGCGCAGCCCTGAGGAGGAGAGCCATGCGCATCCCAGAAAAAGAGAACCACGCGGCTTTGGCAGAGTGGGGGCTCTCCCCTCCCCGCAGCCCTGAGAGAGAGAACCACGAGGCCTGGACAGAGCAGGGACCCCCAAGCTTTAGAAGGGGAACCACCACCTGGTTTTAGCAGAGACCCCGGCGACTTAGCCGAGGGTGCCGGGAACCCAGGGAGGTCTCCCAGTCGAGATGGAGGACTAACTAAGAACCAGAGGACTGCCTGAGCCATGGACTTCGTTTTCCTTCCCTGAAATACAGTACTCTGGACTGGGCAAAGGGGGAAGGAAGGAAGGACTGTGTCTGTTTGTGGGTGTTTTGGGGGACTTTGGGGGTTTTTGATAAAGACATTAGGCCACTACTTGAAGTTTGTATAGCATTAAATAAACATTTCCTTTCCTTTTCACGAATCTCTGGCATTGAGAGATGTCTTTCCTCGGGCGGCAGACATGACGGACCTGGGGGCCTTTTAAATAATAGTATATCGTCCCAGGCCCCCCCTTGTTCTGTTCTGTAACAGTTCAACTTGAACATATCCTGATTTCTGTTTAAAATTATAGGGGCTGATCTAAAGTAAGTATCATCTTAAATTGTGGCCTTTCTAGGGTCTGGGTTGTTTTCCTTTCCTCAAAAAATCAGTCTTGTTTTCTATGCTTGATCAGTTGCTACACATATTTTGCTCAACTTCATTGTTGTAATTATTTCATGGGTTTTCACAGCAGGAGGGGAAGTCTGATATCCATTACTCCTGGCCAGAACTTAGAAAGGGTGCTCATTTTTTCATAGCTTCCTTACTGATTCTAATGTGTGTTCAAGGCTAATGACTGATCATAATGCAGGGTTTCATGATATCATCACTACTGGCATTTTGGGTTGGGTTATTTGTTGTACGGGGCTGTCTGCACATTGTAGGCCACCATCCCTACCCGTTATTCAGTAGATGCTAACAGTACCTCTTCCCGTTGTGACAACCCAAAATGTCAAGAAATTGCCAAAAGTCCCTGTGGGACAAAATTCTCCCAGACTGAGAACCACTGCTGTAACAGAATAAATCACTGCATACCTTAAGCCCATGCTCAGAGCATGTTATGCTTACCAGCTGCACCAATATCACCTGGTGCTTCTTAGGAACACAGAACCTAAGATCTCATCTCAGACCTTTTGAATGAGATCTGCTTCTTAACAAGGTAATCAAAATGATTTGTAAGCTTTTTAATGTTTGAATGTCATAGACCAGGAACCAGTAAACTTTTTCTTAAAGGGCCAGATAATACATACGTTTAGGCTTACAGTCCAGTCATCGTCAGAACAATTCAGCTCTGCTGTTGTAGCATAAAAGCAGCCACAGACAATACAGGAAAAATGGGTGTGGCTGTATTCCAATAAAACTTTATGAGCCACACTTTTCTAAAGTATTCCACAGACTATCCCAATCGGATCTCTCGGTAAACTGAAGACAACTGGTGATTAAACTCTTTCATGAGCACATGTCCATTTGATATTATTTGTTGTTGCTTAGAGAGATGAATAGGTTACACACATTTGCCTTGGTATTTTAGTAGCTTGACTTCTTATCTAGGTGGGGCTGTCATCCATTTCCACATCTAAATTATATATAGATGCTGCTTGAGTTAGCTTACCAGTGGTTCTGAGCCTTCAGGAATATCTGACTTTAGGGCACATTTCTTTTTCTTTGTGGAAGAACAACATATTGATATTACTGGCCCAGTGAAATGACTATTCACTTATTTTGCCTTTAGCAAATTAAGCTGATAAAACTTTAGGAAAACTGCATTGGCGTGAATTTGCTAGAGTAATTTGAAGTCAGTCATCCTCCTTGCCATACCACATGTTCCAAGTCCCCACCAAAGGACAAAGGTACTTTGGCTACATCTCTTGACATTTCATTAAATGCTCCTAGGCATTCAAGTTTAACACTATGAAACTTTTATTTGCGTAGTCTGTTTGTTTCCTTTTATGCTAGGAGAAAAGACTAAACGTCTTTTCCTAGATCAACTTTCTGGACAAATTAGGATTTTAATCAGCTGTCTTCTTGAGGTCTGTTATCAGAAGATGCCAACCTCCAGAGCCCAGGCAGGAGGCTGCAGCGGGTAGGCTGCTAGCCCAGTCCACTCAGTGGGTACATAGCCGTGTTGCTCCCCAAGAATCACTGTATTAGTTATTAGTAACCAGAAAGATTTCTAGTTATTATTGACACCCATAAGATCACTTACTGGCTTACTAAATGGTTTAAAGGAACCAATGTTAACCAGATTTGACTGTTTGGTACTGGTAAGTACCTTATACACTCCTAAAGTCCGGGATCTAAAAATAACTTCTCAGGTAAAATAAACACACAAAAACTGATTTAGCATTCTTAGAGTACACAAAATATATACTTGATAGCTATATATACTTATGTATTTTATTTATGTATGCATTTATGTATGTAAATAAATGTATATATTTATTTATTTTTCCACAGGAAAGTACAAGGAGAAGACAAAAATATTATGAGTCTCAAGAACATTTGAATGAAGTAAAAAGTCCTCCACAAAAAGATGGCTGTATGCAGATCCCAAACTCATTTTATGAACCCCAGCAAGATTTTACCAGTCCAGATATGTTCAACAAGTCAAGACGCCCGCCTTGGTGCATGCACACTTCTACAACTGGTACAGAAGCCACAGGCTTAAAGCCGTCCACCCTCAGTGAAGAAACAAAGGCAGACGTATATTTTTATGGCATCATCATTCTTTTTCTTTTGATTGGTATTCTTTCTTTGTATTTTCTTTGAAGATACCAAACAGAATTCTTTGGATAATTTTTAAAGTTTCAGTTCTTCACAGAAATGTTACATTCTTACATTTCAGGCCTTCCTCCCAGACATTTTTAAGGTAATTGGCTTAAAAAAAAGAGAGAGAATACATTTTAACTAAGTTTGAGAACATTCTCAAAAAACTGCTTTATACTAAAAATGGTGTCATGATACAGTTTGGAAATACTTTTCTGAAGTTTCAGATCACCCAGAAAATCTAAAACAGGAGTTATTTTAAAAAAGGAATTAACCATTTTTGATCAAAGGGTCAATCTGAAAATTAAAATGCTATTTATAGGGACAACTTACATTACAGAAACTTTTTTTAATACATAAGTTATGTCTCAAAAAGTTTTAGATAAGCTGATATATAGATACTTCTAAAATACAAAACTAAAGGCTAATGACATTTTATGAAATGTGATTAATGGCTTACCTTACTACAATATGGACATTCACCAAATAGGATGTTAAAACTCTGTCTGCTAGTCTGTAGTCCTCTCAACCACTGAAGATTTTAAAAAGAAGAAAAGATAAAGGAACCAGTATTAGCATGATTACAAATACTCCAGAAATATTTTCCTTTTTTTTAGTGCATTATATTTTTTATTCCAGAATATTTACCTTCTTAACTTTCTTTTCAAGAGTAAGGGGAACATCTGAGCAAATACCAGACCACTAATATGCTGAATAACAAGGGGAAACAGGCATGGATTTCAAGGTCTATCCACACTGGTGTATAACCAAACTATGGGCCCCTGTAAAACTTTGATGAAAATTATTCACCCTTTTTTGCACTTGAAACACACAAAAATGATGCGTACAGGTCAATGGGGTTCACAGACCTACCTAAATCCATTAACCACAAATTAAGAACTAGTACTGTAAAAGATACCATAGGCTCTTGAAAATCTAGGTCTTACTTCTGGTGTTAATCACCAATAGTGGGGTAATTCTCAACCATTAATTACAAGCATGAGGCGGTTTTAAAAATTAGACGAGTGAGTATTCATTATTATAAAAAACCACATGTTCCCTTAAGAGTATCTCTAGAATTAGAACTGGTATTTTATGATTTTATATAAGTTAAACTGACATCTCTACCTCAGTTCTCCCTTATTAAAATACAGATAGCACCAACTACTATATCTAGTCATAAAAATCAGGTAGTGATACTAAGAAAGACTCAGAAAATTGAAAGCACCATATAACTAAGGTGTTTTGTATATTGATGCACATATAGTTTATCATGTCAACTGTGTCCTAAGATGAATACTATTGAGAGTAAATGACTAGAAACAGGAATGAAAGCAGATTTCACATATAGTAAATAAAATGTCACTGACTGAGAGTGCTGTGAGATACTCAAATGTAGCCTGAAAAGTAACAGATGCTCCATAGTGCGAGTTCCCTTGCACCTATTGCCACCACTCCTCCTAAGTGGATGAGTCTACAGTTTGTATGTGGTTATACAAGGTGTTTACTAAAAGATTCCACTGTACCATCAGTTTAATTTATGTGTCAGTAGTAGTCCATAAGTGTATTCTGGATAAATTTCCCCCTTCTTGGTTACTTTAGGACATTTTTCCATCATGAGAAAGCATGAAGACAGGAAGCACATGGACATCTGAAATGAACTAGTAATACAGGAACTAATGGCAAAAGAGATCATATTGAAATAGATTTTGCAGCCTATACATTTCAAATATGCTTTCTTCCTCGGTTGTGTTAGATGAAAAAAGTCTTGCTAATGTTTTTACTTTACCTCATATAAGCATATTTGATGGAAAGGCTGTCCACACTGGGGATTATCACACACTTGGTCAGGAATGGCACCATCCAGCTGAAAGGCATAACAGATTCCGCAGTCCATAGAAAAATCCTTCAAAAGAAAAATGTAAGTGCATGTGTTTAAAACATACAAAATGAAAAATGAAAGAATTGAGTAATACGGTATAGACAGTATAAAACTTTTATACAATTTTTATGAAGGTAACTATCACTTATGAAAATATTAATATGGTCATATTACTATTTAACATTTTATTTGTATGAGAATGCTCTTTTTCATCCAATAAATTATACACATAGATATATAAAAAACATTCTATTTTTGCCTCACAAAATGAGCTTAAGTTTCCCATATTGTACACCGATATGTAGTATGTAAAAATAGGAACTAATATTAGCTAGTGGCTACTAGCTTCAAAATTGTATACCTAAAGGAAAAAGACAAAAACATGTATACCAGTTTAGTGGTCTACAATTTATCAGCTTGGTCAAAAATCAGTTCTTTTATTTGCAATGTAGTGGTGTCTGATGAATTTTGAAAAACTGTACTACCATCCATCACAAACACTTATATTAAGTGAATTAGAACTTCATTTCAGTCATCTAGAAACAGATAGTATAGAAAGTCCAAACATTTTATTAGCTACCTTGGATCTGTCCCTCTATTATTAGTAATAAAGATATGTGTCAGTAATTTACTGTTATAAACACCATGGAAAAAAGTATACTTATAAGCACCAATCAAAGGCTAACAAGTTTTTTGATGCACGTGTTACTTATAGTTCAGAAAGCTATTCTTACAGTTCCCTCACTTTCAGCCTCATTTTTCTCTGGTGCCTAAAAGAAGAACATTTAACTTTTACTATGCAATGCTGTCTGGAGTATCAAAGCACTGAAAAAACTTACAGATTTTTCCAGGATAGCACGAGCTGGAAAATCAATTTCTAAAACATCTTTCAAATTCTGTAACAGAGTGTTTTCTGGATCCCTGAAAGCGTGAAAACAAATTTGTTATTAAATTTGTAAAGTCACAGAAAAGTAACAATTCTATTGTAAAGATACCTACCACAAATGTATGTTTCTGCTCAGCTTAATTCCCAGGGGTTTCACCACTTCAGGTATAAAAATTAAAAATAAAAGTTCAATAATTCAGGGGTTGCTGCTCTCATATTGTAAAACCATATTTGGCATAGAATTTGTTTCTAATTTAAACTGACATAAAACACTGTTAGTTTTAGGGGAACAACATAATGATTTAGGAATATGTATAATTTGTGAAATGGGTACCACAAATTGAAATCCATCACCACACATGTATTCATATTTTTCTTGTAATGAAAACTTTTAAGATCTTGCAATAACTGTCAAGTATACAATCCAGTATTGTCAACTATAGAATTTAACTGCTTGATTATAAAATAATATATTAAAAACAGAAGTACACAGTTCAAAATGATGAGACATTTAAAATAACTACCATTAACATTTTAGAATAATATACAGAATAATATTTTAACAGTTGTAGACAAGGATTTTATGATTGTTAAAACTTTTAAATCTGAGATCTCACACCATGGTCAGCTCCAAGAAAACAGCACTCAGGAAGCATAGTAGGATGCCTGGGGTCTACCTCTATATTTATTGAAGCATTATGCCCTAGAATAAAAGAATATTAAAGTTTTTAGAAGTAGAAGAGTTCATTAAACAAAAAAGTAAAGGAGTATCTGGCTGCGTACTAATTTCATTTTATACACAAAGAGTAGCCAAATGTTTTATTTTTTAAAATATGTTTACTGAGTTTGAGAGAGCGGAAAAAGGAGAAAGAAACACCAATCAGTTGCTTCCTGTAAAGGCCCCATCAACCTGCAATCTAGCTGTGCCCTGACAGGGAAATGAACCCCCAACCTCTTGGTATAGGGGAAGATACTCTGACCACTGAGACACACTGGCAAAGACCCACATGTTTTATAAATTTTTTATAAAGGTAAATATGTCACTATTATAATTTCATTAAAAAAGTAAATTTTGAAATTATAATTATGGCTAAAGATTTGGGAACCATAAGTTTTGAACAACAGAGTTAATCCATAAATTAGTAGATTAGATTAGAATCCTGGTCAGGATTCAAGGTTCATTGGAATGATAAAGATCTTTAATATAAAAAATCACAACTGACACTGGCCAGCGTGGCTTGTTGGTTGGGCATCACCCTGCAAAGTGAAAGGTCCCCAGTTGATTCCTGGTCAGGGCACATGTCTGGGTTGAGGGCCAGGTCCCCAAGTTGGGGCTAGTGAGAAGCAACCAATCAGTGTTTCTCTCTCTTTCTTCCCCTCTCTCTGAACATAAATAAATAAAAGCTTTTAAAAATATAATGTAAAAATTATTTAAAAATAAGAATTACAGCTCAAATATTATCTAAACTACTTTTCATAACTTTCTTGGAAAAGTCATAGAACTATGTTCAAATAATGTATAAAGACTAGAAATACAATAAAAACAGTAAAAATAAACATGTTTGAGATTTGAGTTTTATGAAGTTTTATAAAAATACTTTCTGAACTCGTTTCCTCCATGTGAAATTTTCCCCTGTAAGTTAAAGGGTTCAATTCCTATTCAATTTGAACTACTCATTTAGTAAAAACAACTAACCTTGGTTGCAGAATCTATGAAAAAGCTGTATCTATTTGTCACTCAGTTCTTTTATAAATTTTAATTGTACTAGAGTACTGTATAAATTTCAGAAATTTTGCTGCTTTTTTAAAAGTGCACAGTATAACTGTTTAAGGTCAATTTAAATTTCATTTTTATGGTAAAAATGTCTTGATAAATTCTATATGCTATAGTGTATAAGCTTTTGGATAAGGTTGGCAACAATATAAATACAATTACTACAGATCTGACAAAAAAAAGAAACCAAGTAAAATAAATGACTATGTCATTCAAGGGAAAAAAAACCCAAAATACAAAAAGTTAATTTATAATCTCATTTGTTAATATTTTCTGTTCCATGAACACAAATTCCATATTAGCCTCTGGCGAAGTCATCTAATGACTCCAGAAAGTACTTTCAGTTAACTATGGCTATATTAACTAATCTTTTAATTAATGTGCTGAAAACTTGGCCTTAAAAGAGCAATTCAATGCCTGAGGCGGGGGGAAGAGCTAAAAGGTAAACATAGACAAGAGTAAATAAGGAAAACCCAGATTGTTTCTGCTGAACAATGAGAAATAAAAAGTATATTTAATCATAACCTGGTAAGAATAATTATTTTAATGCGGACATGAAGACAATAACTACACTTTGAAGAAAATATTTTCATTCTTACAATCTACTTGTTCACAGATGTACCAAAATTTGGTTAATTATTCCAAATTAAATACTGTTCGACTTTAACAAACTAGTAACAATACTATTTGTAGATTTGCTGTGCAATTATCCTTTCCTCTTCTCCTAATAACAGGTTACTTCTCTTCCCCCAGATAGGCTAGTATGCCTGGATAAAAACTATAAAGATTGCTTACTAATTGGGATATTATTCACATCAGCATTTCAAAATATCCTTTGGAATATATGATTTGTACAGCATTATCTATTTGGGCTAGAAAAACAGGGAGGAAAGATATAAATAAGTATCTTCTACCCATCCAACAGTATTTAGTGTGAAGTCAAACAGGTGTCCCTGGGCCACACTGGAAGAAGAGTTATCTTGGGTCACACGTTAAATACATTGCAACATGTAATCATAAAAAAAGTCTCCTAGTATTTTAAGTAAATTTACAATTTTGTGTTGGGAGGTACTGAGAGCCATCCTGGGCTGCATGTGGCCTGGGGGCTGTGGCCTGGGGGCTGTGGCCTGGAAACACTTAAAATCTTGAGAGGCAGAATTTGAAAGCTGTTTTGCTTGTTCATAATGAAATACATAAAACAATCATTTTATAGTAAAGAGACTATAGTGATATTTAAAGGATGATATTTATGGTTATGTAACATATTTATTTCATATACTGATATTTATAATAAATATTTCAAATATACTCAATTATTATTTTATGGTTTTTGTGTACAAAAAGTGGGTATGCATGGCCCATTTCGGGTTCTTTTATCCTTCCCTATACTTTTGTCAGAAAATATTCCCAGACTTGTTCATACTAATCTTATCTAGATTCATGGATGAAAACTTCATTTTTTCTAACATAGTTCTTTTTCCTAAGTAATGTAAGTTTTGAAAAACCTGCTCTACTATTTCTGAGCTAATTAATAACTAATTAACACTATCTCTGAATGCTACTTTCATTGGATCATGACCTTTTCTTTCTTTTTTGTTTTTAGAGAGAGGGGAAGGCAGGGAGAAAGAGAGGGAGGGAAATACTGATTTGAGAAGAAACATCGATCAGCTACCTCTTGTACACGCCCCAAATGGGGAAGAACTGCATCCTAGGCATGTGCCCTGACCAGGAATCAAAACCAGTGACCTTTTACTTCACAGGACAACACCCAACCAAACCACACCAGCCAGGGCATCGTTAGCTTATATAATGAGACATCTCACTACTTGACCTTTACCCCTGAAATATTACATTTAAACACTTAGTAATAAAAAAGTTTATCCCGAAAGTTTTAATAGTTGACTTCATGCAGAAGAGTCTCACCTAAGAGTCCAGTGTCACCCTTAGGTTCATTTTCCTAATAAAGAATACAATCAACCACCTTAAAAAGAAAACACCTGCCCTGGCTGGCATTGCTCAGTGAATTGAGCACGGGCTGGGAACCAAAGTGTCCCAGGTTCAATTCCCAGCCAGGGTACATTCCTGGGTTGCAGGCCATATCCCCCAGCAACCCCACACTGATGTTTTTCTCTCTTTCTCTCTCTCTCTCTCTCTCTCTCTCTCTCTCTCTCTCTCCCTCCCTCCCCACCCCCCTTCCCTCCCTAAAAATAAATAAATAAAATCTTTTAAAAAAAAACAAAACACCTCATTAATCCTCTTTTCCCCCACCTACTGCAATTCTGCGTGCTGTTGCACTCCGTGTAGGTTTTTCTGGCTCAAGTACCCAAGTCTTCTCATCAATTTCATCCATAACATCCCAGAATGCCTTGAATGATTCCAATGCTGCCAAAAACTGACTATAAATGCTTATTATCGAGCTCTATAAAAAACAACAAATGAAAGCTGAGTAAGTTGTAAGGCACTATCAATATCAGGTAATCTTTCACTTAAAATACAACTCAATATAGAAATTTTAAGCTGTTTCATATCAGCTAAAACTGGTCTTAAGAGTCAACTCTCCCTACTTCAAACTTTTTCACCTCCATCCATATTAACAGGACTATGCAATTCTCAAGAAAGTATGGCATTTCAAAAACCCTATTTTTTATGATGAATTTTGTATTATATATATGACAGTAATTATTAATACAAGATATGTATGTATAACTTTATTAATGTATATAACAATATTGGGCATAGTGTATACAATTTCAGTATGAAAATAGTATTTTTATTTTTGCTGTATATATAAAGTTTAATGCTGTACTATTTGACTTGATTAAATTACTTTTAAACATGAATAAATAATTTAAGACTTAATTAGGCAAAAGTATGAAAGTTTTTCACTTAAACAAATTACAAGATTTCTTTTGATGTTAAACTTTTAGCTAATTTCTGAATTCAGTATTTCAAACATTAACTAGTTAAATACATTTTATGGGAGTTAAATACATTTTCACTAAATGATAACACAATCACTGATTCTAAAAATCAATTTATAATTCAAAGTCAAAAATTTATCAAAATAATGTGATATGTTTAAAAGATACTATTGTTCACTAAATTTTTTTTGTAAAAAGCAATCAAAGCTAAATAGTTTTTTAAAGGATTTTGTTTCAAATAAGCAAAACATAAAAAGTCAGTGAACAACTTATACCATATACATGAATAAACTCAAAATGGATAAAATACTTAAATGTAAGTCACAAAACCTAGATAAAAATCCTAGAAGAAAATAGGCAGTAAAATCTTAGATATCTCATGTAGCAACATTTTTGCCGATATATCTCCTAGGGCATTGGACACAAAGGAGAAACTAAACAAATGGGACTACATCAAATTAAAAAGCTTCTGCATAATTAAATAAACCATCAGGAAAATGACAAGGAAACCCACTGTATATGAGAACATTTTCACCAATGATACATCTGATAAGGGCTTAATCTCCAAAATAAAGAACTAAGAGAACTCAACACCAGGAAGACAATCCAGTTAAGAAATGAGCAAAGGATCTGAATAGACACTTATCCAAGAGGACATACGGATGGCCCATAGACAAATGAGAAAATACTCAATGTCACTAATCATCAGAGAAATGCAAATTAGATCCACAAGACACCATCTCACACATGTCAGAATGGCTACTATCAATAAAATAACAAAAGGTGTTGGAGAGGATATGGAGAAAAGGGAACCCTGGTGCGCTATTTATGGGATTCCAAATTGGTGTAGCTACTGTGGAAAGTGATATGAAGATTCCTCAAAAAGTTAGTACCAGCATACTACCCAGCAGCTCCACATCTAGACATTTATCCAAAGAAATCCAAAAGCACTCATTCAAAAAGATAATATGCACCCCTATGTTCACTGCTGCATTATTTACAACAGCCAAAATATGGAAGCAATTTAAGTGTCCACTGATAGATGAATAGGTAAAGAAGATGTATGTGTATATAATGAAATATGACTGGGCCATAAAAAAGAATGAAACTTTGCTATTTGCAATAACATAGATGGACCCAGAGACTATTTTCCTAAGTGATGTAAGTCAAAGACAAATACCTTATAGAATCTAAAAAACAAAATAAATGGAAAAAAAAAACAAACTCAAAGAAAAATTGATGATTGCCAGATGGGAGGAGGGTTGGGGTACTGGGTGAAAAAGGTGGAGGGATTAAGAAGTACAAATTGGTAGTTATATACCAATTTTCATGACTATATTATAAAGAAGATAAAGAACATAAGGAAGAGCATAAGGAAGATAGTCAATATTATAATAACTACATTTGGTGTCGGGGGTACTAGACTTAGGGCGATCACTGTAAGATATATAAACGACTAATCACTACATTGTACACCTAAACCTAATATAATAGTGTATGTAGACTTTAACTAAAAACAAATTTTAAAAGCTTTTTTATCACAATTTCATATTCTTTGTGCTTTTCCATATTTCCAACATGTATTAATTTTAAAATCATAAAAAGCTTATGTAAAAGTAGATATGGTCTTACAGTCATTTCATCTCATTATATCTACAGTATAGGGAAAAATAAACTTAATTCAATGAAACTAATATTTCAACCATATGTCTGGACTATGTTGAAATCTGATACAAAGATAAAAGAATCTAGTTCATAAGGAGAACACAGGTCTAATCTTCATAGTATAAAAGTATCTGAGCTTAACCAAAACAAATTCAGCCTCTGGAAGCCTTAAAATTGCATCTATAAATGTAGGTGTGCACTAGATAGCTTCTACGGTAACTTCGAGCTCTACAAGAATTCTAAATATAACTTGGAAAATCCATAAAGTAGGCCATTCTGTCCACTTAAAAGTACCTATATTTCAAGATCTCAATGACTATAGTGTACTCCATTTCCACTTTTTGTTTATAAATATTTTATAATTCAAATTATATAACTATATACCATTAAGTATAAAAAACTTATATGATTTAATGTACAGCAATCATTTCTTTAATCAAAATACTGCAAATCAAAATATCTGGGTTACATTTTACATCCCCATGTATTTAAGGAAGAAGTGAAAGATGCATTATACACATTTTCTTTTTTATTGAATTTATTGGGATAACATTAGTTAACAAAATATTACAGGATTCAGGTGCACAACTGTACACCACATCATCTGTACACTGTATTGTGTGTTCACCACTGCAAGTCAAGTCTCTGCCCATCACCATTTACCCCCCTTTACCCTCTTCCACCTCCCCCAGCAATCACCACATTGTTGTTCATGTCCTTGAGTTTTTCTTCCTTTTTTTAACTTCTTTTTTGCTCAGTCTCTCCATCCCTCCCATATCCGACAGCTGTCAGCCTGCTCTCTATCTTTGAGTCTGTCACTACTTTGCTTATTCATTTTATTCATTAGATTCCACATATGAGTGAAATCATAAGGTACCTGTCTTGCTCTCACTGGCTTATTTCACTTAGCATAATGCTATTACTTTCTAAAATACAGGGAGATCTTTCAACTTTTCAAAACTTTTGAGTTCTTGAAATTGGTTTGGAACCACAAATTCCTAGCAGGAATAACAAAGCAATTATATACTTTAAATATGGTCAAGATCCAAAAATAACACCCAGCGTGATGCAACTCATTAATTACTAATCAAAGGAAAATGACATCCTTCTTTGCACATATACATAGCACTATGTTAAAGGAAACAAAATAGAAGAACAAAGATACAAGACAAAAACTGGGAAAAAAAGAATAGAAATTAGTAGTTTAAAAAACTATAATGAAACACACAAAAGGCTTTGCATCTCGATAAATTCTCACAGAACAATATACTATCTCACAGAGAAGAAAAGTACCTGTATCCCAGAAACAAAGACAATGATGTAGAATAGAAGCCTCTCACCTAAGGCTTGCTATGGTAGGAGACGGAAGAGGAAGACAGAATGGCAAACAACTGCAGCAACCTCTTATTCTTAAAATGTGAGTGAGTGAGAGAGAAACAGAGAAAGGAAAAAAAGGAGAAATCCTGAAAAAGTTAGAAAAGACAAACAAGGTGAGAAGAGTACATTTTATTCTACCTACTCCAAAGATTTGCAGCAAGACCCCATGATAAAGGCATTTGAACCACAACAAGTTATTTTATCTGTGTCTGTCTGTCTGTCTTTTGGTCCATTTATATGGGGTGGGCTGTAACAAGAAAAAAAGGCACATACTAGATGCCAGAGTTAGAAAATTATCTCTACATTACATGCACAGGGAGCAGAAGAGCTAAGTTTAACAGGGGAGCTATTCCCTGATATGGAGTCCAATTTCCTGTGTTAAAAGCAAAGGTCAGAAGAATAAAAGAATGTATTAGTCTTGAGGAAAAAAATAGACATCTTCACGTGATCTGAAAATAGCAAGCATAAAAATATTGAGAGATCAATCTAATATTAGGTTCACCTAAGGCACGTAATAAAATTCTCTGCACTGAAATCAGAATATCTGGACTGTTCTGTATATGGGCTTTTCAGTGAAAAGATGTGTATGTGGGATCCCTACATTGATTCACTGAAAATTCCTGAACAAACATAACTAAAAAGATTTCTGAACAGTTTGTCCTGTATGATAGATTTGACATTTAAACCTTGAGATTATGAACCATTAGAAAGTCTTCTCAAAGATAACCAAATCATGACCTTACAAAAAAACCCCAACAGATTTATTGTTTTTTTCCAGATAGGTTTTAAAATGCTAAAGCACAGTCAGACTATTTTGGTAATACTTGCCAATTTTTATGTTGGAAGACATGCATAAATCAAGTACCCCAATAGTAAAATAGGGAAAGGTCAGGTTGGTGGTTCTTATTCATATTTAATAAATAAAATAAACCATCAGAAGACCAGGTTGTATCATTACTGAAAAGCCTTAAAATGTATTACATTTTCTTACAAAGCTTAGCCAGTAAATAGGGAGACAGATGAAGTTCTTATTAGCTCCATGGCTACAAACTGTATCTTGAGTGAAAGCAATCAGTCGTCTGGTTTCCACATTGTCAATATCCACTGATGAATTTTTGTATGCTTAAATCTAAATTCTTTTCAAAACATATTAGTATCACTTAATGAAAAGGTGAGAATTTTTTTACATTCTACAAAGAAGCTAGGTAAAAAAAAAAAACAACCAAAACAGGTACAAGTACAAGCTAAGTAGGATTAGTCCTCCAACGTTCTTTTTCAGACTTTTTTCTTAGATTATTCTAGGTCCTTTGTAAATATAAATTTTTGAATCATTTTGTCAGTTTCTAAAAAGAATCTGTTGGGGTTCTGACTGGGATTGCATTAAATCTATAGATCAATTTGGACAAAATTGACATCTTAAAAATGTTAAATCTTTTAAGTCATGAATATGGTACAT